ACAGAAATCTTCCATGTCCCCCTTTCTTAACTGTGTATCTGTAGTCATCAATAACACTGCCAAAGTTGCGTATTTGTTCTTTAGGGTCTGAGGGGCATCCACGTGGTTTCTAGCCACACCACAGACTTCAGAATAGAGCTCCTGGTTGAAGGTGGACCTCCGGCAGCACACACTCTAAAAAACAACAACAACAACAAAAACAGAAAAAAAAACAAAAAACAGACTCTTAAACAATAATCAAATACTCTTATTAAAGTGATGAATCTTTGAAAAGAAAGGAAAAACAAACCAATCTTTCTGTCTGTCTTAGCAAAGTTTTTATTATATCAAACAAAAAGCAAGATAGTTGAATACTCAATATTCTCCAATAGTTTTTGTTGTTGTTCAGACTTGACTTGGATCAACTTAAAGGTACCTGTTTATATGTCTCATTGATTTAAAAAAACCAAAGCAATAATTTCTTTTAACCAAAGACAGCAGAATACATAGACTAGGTATTATTTAGATGTCCTTTTTTTTATGGTTTTCCGAGACAGGGTTTCTCTGTAGCTTTTGGTTCATGTCCTGGAAACTGGCTGGAACTAGACCAGGCTGGCCTCGAACTCATAGAGATCCGCCTGCCTCTGCCTCCCGAGTGCTGGGATTAAAGGCGTGCGCCACCACCGCCCAGCCTCAGATGTCCTTTTTGACTTGAGTTCATCTCTGTAGGATTCTGCACAAAAGTATAGAAAACATAGTACATTTACTCCTTTTCAAATAAGTCTACTTTTCTCTTGAACACAGATAAAGGAAAATGTTCTGTACCACTCCGGGAATTGTGAAAGGGCTAGCAGAGTTTTTGTGATCTCTTGATCACTTTTCCGTAGTCACCTGAAGCACAAGGTCATCACCATCTGGTCTTTGCCTGTGTGTCATCAGGCACGCATTCCCCACAGGAGCAGCAAAAACTGTCTCTGTGGGAGGCAATGCTATTTCATCAGCTTGTGGTCCATGAAAGGGTCACAGGACATAAGCGGGAAAGAGGCAAATCTGTAACACTAAAATAGGATTAGGAGGATTCTCTGCAAACGTGGGACTGATATCAAAAGTGCAGTGCAAAGCTCTGCTCTACGGCAAGGACTCGCAGGCTGCGGTATAAGACCAGATAAATGCATTTTTTTTCTGCTAGAAGTTTATATTTAAAGTGGATCTTTTCCCTTTTTTAACCTATCATAGGACGTTTATTTGCAATGCTTTAAGTTTAGATATTTCAAATTCAGTGTAGTTTGTCAAATTCTATGCAAAGGCTATTTTGTGACAAAAGATGTGTGTGTATGTGTGTGTGTGTTGGTTCTTTTAAAAACATTTTTTCTTTATAACTCAGACTTGCAGCCTGACAGCAAGGCCTTCCAAAAGGCAAAGTGGACGATAAACCATTTGGTAGGAGAAAAGCTTGTCACCGGAGATTCCCTTTGAATTAACCTCACAGTCAGTGACAAGTTCCTCAAAGCCCCTGGAGCTCCAGTGTCTTTATCTATCAACAAAGTATACTGCCGCCAGACCTTGTGAGTTGTTATAGAATTTTTGAGATAATGGGTGTGGGGTGCCTGGCACTCACTGTTTATGACTTGGAGGCCAGCCTAGGCTACAAACTGAATTCAAGGCCATTCTGGGCTGCATAGCAAGACCATATCTCAGAAGAGGAGAAAGAGGGAGGAGAAGGAAGAGGGTAAGGGTGAGGGAGGAGGAGAGGGGGAGGGAAAGGAGGAAAGAGGAAGGAGGGGGAGAAAGATGGGGGATAGGAAGAACATAACTTCTTGGCCTAGAGCGAAACACCCAGCAGAACTATTTCACCAGACCTCAGAAACATTCTCTTTACATCTTACTACAACCACGGAGGGGAGACGGAGCAGGGTGAATCCTTACAGGCAGAATATAGCCCCTGCCAATTTTAAAAAAACACGTAAGAGAGTTATCAATAGCTTTGGGGGGTAAAATTCAAGCTTTCATCATTAAGGATACATGATGATTGTCAAAAATACCAATGAAGAGAAGGAAGCATTTCTCCCGCACTATAAAAATCATCTTGATTTATTCTTTTAATGAAAAAGGTTTGGGAAGGCACACCAGCTGTGGTTTATGAGAGGGAAATGAGCCAGAATTCCTTGCAGCAGGGTATTTGCCACGGGTCAGATATGGGTATGGGTGGACGCAGCATCACCCCCACGTTGCTCAGGCATCGCAGTCTGTGGTGACTAGCTGGGCATTTGTGTGAGGCTGCGTGGAGCAACAGCAAGGCAGCCCAGCTTTCTTCACTGGTGCTGAACAGACCTTGGGTGGAATGTTTGGGGCTGGGGCAGAAGCAGCAGGTTTATGTTGAAGCAGTCGCTCTCTGGTTTTCCACTCAACACGTGTGAGCAGTTTAGCCATCACTGTAAATCACAGGCTTCCCCCCCCCCCAGTGATATAAATAGGGACGCGTAAATATTTCAGGTTCATCAGCCTCCAAGTATTCTTCAGATGTCTCGGGTTCACCCAAACAGAACACATCCTGCGAGCACATTCTCCCTTGCTTTTTTTTCTTCTTAAGAACTGTCTCTGAGTTATGTGAAATAGAATCCATATGTTTCTGCCTCAGTTACACTTAAATAATCAAAAAGTTGTGTATTCTAAGAGCTGCTTGCTGTCCAAGCTGTCTCTAAGCTCGCTACCCCTCCCCTCCTCCCAGACACACAGGCAGCTCGGCCCCTTTAAAAAAAAGTCCAAGCGAAAGAGAGAGGAGCAGGGAGGGGGGATAACCTAGAAAGGCTTGCTTTGCCAAGATGAAATAATCTTAAGTACCACGACGTTCAATTTGGGCAGAAATGGCAAGCCCAAGAATTTCAAATGAGTCCAGAACGCTGGTGAAAACAAAGGCGCCTCTAGCCATGTTCAAAATCAGCTTCAAGAACACACCACACACACACACACACACACACGCACAAGCACACGTACATGCACAGCTGGCAACTTGGTAACCACACCCTGAAGAAAGAGAGGGAAAGGGTGGACCCTCAGCACCCAGCTAACAGCTAGCTACTCCAGCCTGTCATTCCCAGTTCCCTGAGAGTAGCCTGTCCTGTCCAGATGCAGAATTGGTGCTATTTTAGCTTGGAAATGCATCTCTTGTGGTGTGTCCTGGTGCCCTAACCTCATATTTCTTGCCATTCTGTCATCTGGGCCAAACAGACGACAGTCATGGAACTCAGTATTTGTAAAGGCACCGAGAGACAGCATTTAGATCCCAACAGGGCCGACATAGGCACGTTGTGTAATGTGAGAAACGTAACTAGAGACCTGTGAACTAATTAAAAGGCAAATGTAAGGCTGTGTCTCCTTGTCTCCGCCGTGAGTCACTGACATCTTAGCCGCTCTTACGTCACATTAGGCCTGAGCATCTAGGTGACTACAAGAAATGTATCCAAATTAGAAACACTCGGTGCTGATAACATCCTTAAATGTCTGTGGAGGATGTCGCTATTCATTTCCACAGCATTAGCACAAATTATTATGGTCCAATGGGATCCTTAGGTGTGGAGTTTGCAATGATCCCCAGAGAATGAACAGTCCCACAGATTACTAACTCCTCCGGTTAGTCCTGTCAGTCTGACACACCCGGGAAGAGGGAACCTCAATGGAAGCTTTGCCTCCAGCAGACTGACCTGAGCCCATGCCTGTGAGGCTTTTCACAACTGGTGACTGAAGTAGAGGGCACAGTCCTCTGTGGGCAGTACCATCTTTGGGCTGGTGGGCTTGGCTTACATGAAACTATTCCAGGTGGCAAGCAGCTTTCCTCCACTGTCTCTATTTCCGTTCCACCGCCAGGTTCCTTCCTTGAATTTATGCCCCTGTTTCCCTTGATAATGGGCCGTAGCCCCTTTCCCCCCAAATTAGCTTGGGTCAGAATTTTATCCTAGTAACTAAAAGCAAAATAAGACACATACATACTCCAGTTGTCTTCAAGGCAAAATAACAGTATGTTTATTTCCTCCTTCCTAGCCCTAGGAAACATTAGTAATATATCCCTTTATTTTACCAAAATGGGTAATAAGGATAAACACCTTGGTGTGTCTTAAACATGTACATGCATACACCTGCTTGCACACACACACACACACACAGTATGCATGTGCAGAGTGTATTGAGTTTCTCTTCTGATGTTAGCAGATTGTCCCCCTAGGAATAGAGGTGTACTTTCCCATAATTATAAGCTCTTTCGACTCTCAAGTTTTATGCATGAAGAACATTCCAGTATAGAATGGTACTGCAGTTACCTTAATATCTCTAAGTTCTTTTATACATGAAAACACATTTTAGATCATTACTTCGTATATATTTTTAAATGTTGAAACTGAGCTGAGAAGGCACATGCCTTTGACCCTAGCACTCAGGAGGCAGAGGCAGGCCGATCTCTGAGTTTGAAGCCAGCCTGGTCCTCAGAGCCAGTTCCAGGACAGCCAGGGCTACACAGAGAAACCCTGCCTTAAAAAAAAGTTAAACTTAGTTTTTAATGTGATTTAGAATATACTTTAGAACATATTAGAAAAATAAATTAGGTATAACTTCTGCGACATCAAGGCAGAGAACTCCTTTTGAAAAACAGACAGAATATTGTGTTTGGTGAATGGGGGCTATTTTATATAAAAACCCTTTCTAATGTCTAGATAAAAGGATCAGTAGTGTAACAAGCAAATGCTGGGAACCTTTACTTTGACAAAGAATAAGTTGTACTTCCGCATGAGAACCTGTGGCTAGCTCCTCTCCCTCGGCTTCCTGGTGCTCAGTACCTTGGTCTAGTTCCCAGAGAAAGTGAAGGCCCAGTCTACTCCTGCTTACTTCACCTCTTGTTTTGGAGTCCACTGAGCAGTTGCTAGAGAGCCTGTCCTGTCCCTTCTGTTGACAGGTTGCCAGGATATATCCAGGCAACGGAAGTCGGGTGCCTTTTATGCAGCAACGGTGCCTTTTATGCAGCAACGGTGCCTTCTAACTCTCAGTCCCACAAGAGATATGTGAGTCCTGGCATTCCCAGCTCAAACACCATCCTCCCTGGATCCTCAGAGGCAGTTGGAATGCCACAGTAAGGGCCAGACATTGAGAGGGGGACAGGTGCTACAAGGTAAGCCTGTTCAAATACAGCTCTCTTGTCTCAGAGCACCTCAGTCTGAAGTCTTACTTTTACCTTGATTTCCTCCACAGCATCTTTTCCAGTGTACAGGAAATATTTCTTTATGAAAGAAGAGAAATTAAAGTAGAAATTAGTCCTTACAAGAACGATATTTCTCAAAAATATTATTTTATTTATTATTATTTACTTATTATTATTAAATGCTGAAATGATTAAAAGATAACCAAATTTCAGTTAAAAACACAGTCTAATAATTTTATTCAAAGTAAAGTATGCTTGTAGCACTAATGCAGTATTAAGTTTGTTGACCAGCTTATCCACAATAAAAAAAAAAACAGTGATAAAGGGTTCAGTTACTCAGATGAATTAGATTTTTTTCAAAAAAATCAACTGAGTAAACTATAAACAAACTGAGGTCTAAATTTTAAATTCCTAAAATCAACTAATTTAATAGAATACAGTCACACAGAAATCCTCTCAAACCAAGGCAGGGGCATTTTCATCGTGACAGAAACTGTCCTTATGTCCTTCCAGCCTGCCTTCCCTCCATGGTGCTGGCTTCTGTCACCAGAGAGTGATAAACCCCCATGAACTCTGTATGTCTGTAGTCATCTGTCATCATGCAATGCGTGCTCCAGCTTCTGCCTCCTCTGAAGGTGGGGGATGTTTCTGGGATGTTCTGTGCGGCTCTGTGTGCGGCTGGTCGGCTCTTTGATGGGCGAGCAGAACGCTATGCTCGTTGCACGTTTGTTTAGCTAATCTACCAGCTGGTGTTTGGTTTCTCTCCGGTTTGGACCTGCTGTAACCAAGCAGCTGTAAACACCCCTGTACATGTCTCCTCTTTGCTCCAGTTTCACTCTTTAAGTCTTCCAGCGTCACTGAGATTCATCTGACAAAATATCCATGCATTTAGGGACTATCACGAGGTGTTTTCATAGAGTGTGCCGCGGGAAGCGATTGCCAGATCTGACAGAATTAAAGTGTCCATCACCAGTGTTCATTACTTCTGACAGTGGTCTTGTTTGCATTGTCCTCTTTTGGTAGAAGGAATGCTTGCGATTCTCTATCTTGGTGCCTTTCGGAGATAGACTGAAACATCGTCTTCCATCAGTGTGGTTTAGATTAGGTGTCCAACAATTAAATTCAGCAATCTGGATCCTTTACCTGTTATCTTTCCTTTACTCCCAGGCTCCAGCTGCTGGTAATTACCACTCTACTCAAATGACTCACGGGTTTAAGGGAAAAAATGCTAAACATCCCTAATCATCAAGGAAATATAAGTCAAAGTCACCTCTCATGTATTAGAATGTCAAGTCAGAATGATTTTTAAAAAAGAAGTTCTGGCGAAGATGTGGTAGAAAGGGAACGCTTAGGGACACACTGTTTGTGAGAACGTAAATTCAAACCACTGTTGTGGGAAAGTGTACGGATATGCCCGTGAAAATAAAAATAAAACTTCCCTATGATCCGGCAATCTCATTTTTGATAGATGGCCGCAGGAAATGAAATCAGTGTGTTGTACCTTATGTGTACTGAAGCATCATTCTAGAGCCAAGATAGGACACCTAAAAGTCCATCAGTGATGAACGGACAAAGAAACCACAGTACGTACGTAGAGTGTTGTATATGGTCTACATATATGGTCTACATGTGCAGTTTTAAAATGAAAGAAATCCCTGCTTGTGGTAGTAGGGAGAACATGAGGACACTAGGCTAAGTGAAAGAAGCCAGGCACAGAAAGACAAATGCTCCCTGATTCCCCCTCCCCTGTGGACTCTAAACATATGCACAAGCTTTCTGGCAGTTATGTCTTTATTTTTATCTTTGGCTTAAATCTAGGAATAAAATTAGTAGGTTCAAGGTGAATGGTTACCTTTAATCGAGTATGAAAATGGTATCTTTGCATAGAAACAATTTGAATTTGCCATTGACCAATCAAGTGGAGCACTTCTTTGTCGGTTTCTTTTTAATTGTCTGTTCACACCTTTGCCCGTTTAAATATCTTTATCTTTAATGATCCACAGACCACACACTAGATACACACTTCTTGGGTAGCCTTACTGATAAGTTGGACAGATGTCACCAAAGGAGTTGACATGAGTATTCACCTTTTAGGTCGCTTCTATATGTACTCACCTTCACACCAAGCTCTGTCACTACAGATATCAGCACTGCCCACCCTAGCCTGTCACATGTATGGAATAATTTAGCACATACTCTTTTGTACCTGACATTTTCAGCATCATGTGTTTTGAGAGAACTCACCTGTCTTGGGAGTGGGTCTGTATTGAGTCAACCTTCTACGTAAGAATATGCTGTAACTTTTCATATTTGCGCCTGCTGCTGTGTGAATATGTTTCCAATTTTCATTATTATGAGTAAAGCTACCACAGATATCTATCTGCATGTGGCTTTTTGTGAATATGGAATTTCATTTTTATACCATACATAACCTGTGCATATTGCTAAGTGCCTACAAGTCTTTGGAGTGACTGTAACATTTCAGATTCCCCACATTCTTATTAACACTCAGAATGACATCATTTTAGCTTTAGGCATTACAGTGTGTATGTCTAGTAACTCTGTGGCTTCTGTTCGCATTATTCTTTTATAAAAATTACTGGGCAGTGGTGGCGTACGCCTTTAATCCCAGCCCTTGGGAGGCAGAGGCAGGCAATCTCTGAATTTGAGGTCAGAGCCTGGTCTGCAGAGTGGGTTCCAGGGAAGCCAGGGCTTTGTAGAGAAACTCTACGGAGCACTCCTTGAATCCCAGCATGCAGGAGGCAGAAGCAGGAGGATATATGTGGGTTCGAGGCAAACCTGGTCTACAGAGTGAGTTCCAGAGCAAACAGAGCTCTTACAAAGAGAATCCCTGTCTCAAAGAAAGAAAATTGTACAAGAAAAATTTCTTATTTATTTTTTTGTGAAAAGGTGTTTTTCCTGCATGTATGCCTGTATACTATGTGTCCAAAGAAGCCAAAAGAGATTGTTGGATCATGAGACTGGAGTTACATATAGTTGTAAGCCATTGAACACAGATACTCTGCAAGAATAGTCATTTCTCCAACCCCATCTGTTGGCAGCTTGCCGAGGCCAAACAACCAGGAACATTCTGTAGTGTTTCCTGTGTTCTATTGACCAGATACTTTAGCAATCTACGCAAAGATTTGTTCTTTTTAAAACTTAGATTGTAGTATGTTCACATACAGATATACACAACAGATTCTTCCTAGATATGAATCTCAAGTAATAACTTTCCACTCTGCCGCTAGTCTTTTAGTTCTCTTAATTTCGAAGAGCAATAGTCTCTAATGTAGAAGTATCATTTATTATATGGTCACATTTCCATCCTTTCAGTTCTGTTTTTGTGTATGAAGTTTTTGCAAATATCAACAACTCAAAAATATTTCCCTGTGCTTCCTTCCAGGAAATTTCTAGTTTTGGCTCTTGGGAGTAGCTCTGTGAGCTATTTTTGAGCGCTAAAAGTAGAGAGCTGGTATCTGTTTTTATCCGCGAGCACACCCTATCTTCCACTGTCGTGTGTTAGAAAGGGCTCCTTTCCTCCACTGAGTCATCCTGGCAGCTTTGACAACAAATGAGCAAACCATAGTTGATTATATATTCCTGGGCTCTATCACATGTGTCTATTGCCTATCCTCATTTGCACTGCTAATTTCAATAAAGCAACTTGTATTGACTTATAGGGCTGGAAGCAAGGATTTGAAGCCAGGGCTTGACCTTTGGTGACTGCTTGCCAATGGTCTTACATAAAACCTGAATGAGATTGGGCCATCTTCCTTGAGTGTCATATACATATCTTCCTAGGCAGTAACCTAATAATAAATGACTGCCCATTAAGCAAAAGCCAAAATATGTAATAAATTTATTCCCAAAACTTAATAACAAAAATTAATTAATTTTAAATTATTTAATTTTATTAATGTTCACTAACTTATTGTCTGTTGGTATCACATGACATATTCTAAACAGGGAAAAGAGAGGAGAGTGTTTCTTGGCTCATAACTTAAACACAGACATTATTTATATCAGGAAATCTTGTCTATTTAACAATGTATTTTTCACAATATAATAATGTATTTTTCACAATGACAGAGAAAATTTAAACCTACTAAAGTAGCATCATATTAAAAGTTTTAACATCCTCCTGTGAACAAGAGAAAATTATCTATAAACAAACGTTTGCAAAGCAAAAAGATTATTTATTCATTCCCAACTTTGAAGTGTCTGTCATAAATATCCACTTTGAGCCTGAAAATGGAAACTATACTTTGTGTTCTCTTTCAGACTTAGATTGTTTTAAATTAGTTGTGCTTCCCTGTTGATTTCAGAGCTTGAGTCCCATATAATTGTCTCTAATAGAAATTTGAAAACAATAAAGAATATATACAGTTCCAGAACACCTCTCCTGAAGGAGTGGTGATGATTCCTTTGAAGTATTAAAGACATGGGGAGGTGTTCTCCAAATGGCAATAACAATGGACCGTAGTACAGCAACACAGGCAGAGTGTAAAGAGGTAAGTTGATAACAGGTTAAACATGGTGACAAACTGTAAATTTTCTGTGCAGGGTTCAAGCATTTATTTGAGGAAAGGCCAAAAGGATCCTGGAGAGAGCTGTGCACAAGCAAAACTTGATAGCAATCTGGTGGATTTTGAGTATTATTTTAAAATTCACACTTATTAATGACTGCATGCTTCGCTCAAAATTTGTTTTTGTTTTTGTTTTTTTTTTTTGTTTTGTTTTCCCCAAGCATGTGCCTGCATCAACATTTATCCACTATGTGCATGCAATGCAGAGGCCAGAAGAGGGTGTCAGGTCCTTTGGAACTAGAATTACAGATGGATGTAGGCACCTTGTGGGTGAGGACTGGGAACTGAATCTAGATCCTCCACAAGAGCAACAAGTGCTTCTAACCACTGAGCAATCTCCTCAACCCGGACACTTCATTATTAAATAAAATCCCATGTGTA